GAGAGAAAGAGAGAGAGAGATCCGGGGGCACCTAGGTGGCTCAGCCAGTTAAGCATCTGACTTCGGCTCAGGCTCATGATCTCACAGTCTGTGAGTTTGAGCCCCACATCAGGCTCTGTGCTGACAGCTCGGAGCCTGGAGCCAGCTTCAGATTCTGTGTCTCCCTCTCTCTCTGCCCCTCCCCCGCTCGTGCTCTGTCTCTCTCACTCTCCAAAATGAATAAATGTTAAAAAAAATTTTTTAATAACAAAAAAAAAAAGGAAAACCACTGTTTAAACCATGGTTGTAATGGTCTGAGGGGTGGCCCAAAAGATTTCAGGTCCTAATCCCTGGAATCTGTAAATGTCACTTCTTTGAAAACAGGGTCTTTGGAGGTGTGATTAAATCAAGCAACCTGAGATGGGGACGTGGTCCCGGATCATCCAGTCACAAGGGTCCTTGCAAGAGAGAAGCAGAGGGAGACGTGAGATGGAAGAGGGGGCATCAGGGTAGTCACTGAGCATAGGACCCACCAGGAGCTGCAAGGACAGGTCCTCCCCTAGAGCTCCTCAAGGAGCACAGGCCTGCACAGACCTCAGGTTTGGACTTCCCAGCCTCCAGCACGGTGACGGAATAGACGGTGATGGAATAGACGTCTGTTGATTGAATCACCCTGTTTGTGGTGATCTGAGACAGCAGCCACGAGAAAGTAAGGTAACAATAAAACAGATTCGGACAATGATCAGGAGCTGGTGTTGAAACTGGGCGGTGAGGATGGAGAGCAGAAGGTCGTACGACGTCAGCGTTCACAGCATACACGCCGCTTTTGCCTGAGTGGGACAAGAGGGGTCAGGCTGCTCAGTGCAGGGTGGCAGAGCTAATGCAGGGGCCAGCCAGCCACAGTGTGTCTTCTGATCAGATGACACAGGAAGTATACAACAGCAAAAAACAGTGCATTTAGCTAACTGTTCGTGAATGGTGAATCCACCAAGCCTTTGGCCATAACTTCTAGAAATTAGAAATACAGGGGATAGCAGAACAAGCTAAGAGAGCCCAGACACAACCAGGGGCTGCAATAGTCTGCAGACAGCAGCTCCGTCCTGAAAACCAGCAACGTGGGAGGGACTGCGCCCAATAAAGGGTGTGAAGGCTCACCAGCCCGAGGTCCCTCCACACCCTGACGGTGTGCTCTCACAGGTACAGGCTCTTGTGCATTTGGCACAAGTATCTTCCCCATGACCATCTAAGTCCTCTGTCTCTTTTCCCTCTGAGGCATTCTGACACCTGTCCCCTGGTGATGGGTGGCAATACAGCCATCACAGCACTTTTAGAACATGATAAGGGATGGGGCGCCCAGGTGGCTCAGTCGGCTAAGCGTCCGACTCTTGATCTCAGCTCAGGTCACGATCTCAGGATTCACGGGACTGAGCCCCCTGTCGGGCTTTGTGCTGGCAGCACAGAGCCTGCTTGGGATTCTCGCTCTCTGCCTCTCTCTGCCCCTCTCCTGTTTGTGCTCTCCCTCTCTCTGTCTCAAAATAGATAAACTTAAAAAAAAAAAGAACACGCTAAGGGAGGGCCCAATCGGGGATGGATTTGGCAGGTGTGGGTTTCTGGAATACATGCGTGTTACTGGTTTGTAGTAACTCCCACGTGTGGTTCCGTTCTCGCATGCTGCTCCGGAATAGCTTCCGGAAATACTCCTGCCACCCATTTGGGTGACTTACCCTGCACTCTGACACATAGGTATGGGGTCAAAGGTCAGGTCTCCATCTGCCCTTGTCCCGTGGACCCAGCACCACATCTGTGGGAGTGGAGGAACGAGCTTTGAGGGACACCAGGCTCTAGAGTGTGGACGTCACTTCATCTACAGGACACTCTCCCGTCGGGAACTTGATGATGCGCCGTGCACAATTTTCGGCGCCCAGTAGGATCTATCAGACCGCCTGTACATAGCGCACAGTCGAAGGCAGTTTTGGGAGCCAAGAGATGTGGGGTGTGAGGGGCAATGCTCTAGCCCATCAACCGCCAGGAATTACAAACCGCATTCAAGGGAAAAGTGATGACCTTGCTGATCTCCCTGCAGGAAATCTTGCAAAATTATCGTCGTAGGAAGAGACAGGCTCGGGGCGTGCGGCGAATTCACACCGTATTCCGATAGTTTTCTAGATGTGCTATTTGTGGACTCGCTGGCCTCTGAGTGGGTAATTTTTTTTTGAAATTTCTTATCCTAGAACAGTATCCGCCTTGGTGTAATTTTAGATTCGTAATGCTGTGTGCGTTTCTGTGGAGAGGCTCGGAGGCCATGTTAATAATGCATTGTTCTTAAACAGGCCCCCTGCTCTGGGGACCGGATGACCAGATGCAGGGCACGGCGCCGGGCGCACCAGCTACGAACGCCATTCTGGGGTGATGAAGACCCCCCCCGCGAGCCACTCTGGGGGTGGAGGGAGACGGATGCCGTTCGTGGAGTTGGGGTAGACAGGGGACAGGGGCTCCTCCGGGAGCTCAGGACTTCACAGCCGTGCTGGGCAGTCAGGAGGGGCTGGGACAGAGAGCTCGTGGTCTACACGTTAGCCCCCGGCCCACCGGAGGACCCGAAGAGTTGGTACCACAGGCCAGAGCCACGCCTGTGGGCAGCCCTGCCCTTCAACCATCCGCAGGGACCCCCGAAACCCACACTGGGATGCTGCAGCCCTAGGATGGCCAGGCGCGCCCCCTCCGATGGCAGCCGATGGTTTCTCGCTCAAGCCCATAGTCTATTCATCACTCTGTGCTTCGTGCGCGTTGCACACGGGGTTATTTTCCAGGCGTCTTCCTGGCTCTGTTGAGGAAGGCCTGAGAGAGAAGCTTTGGTGAGTAGTTACTCCACGAGCTCGGCCAGGAGGCCGCTGCCATGAATCATCTTCTGCGGAGTCCGGGTCGTGGGACCTCTTTCTTTGTCCCAAGAGAAAAGACCACTGGGCAAACACAGCAGAATAACCTGGCGACTTCTGGCTTAAATAACTGGAAGCAGAAGCTCCTCCACAAGCAAAGGATGAGGAAGAAATTTATTCGTATTGTCACTATAGTGCACCATATAAACAACTAGTAAGATAGTTGGATAGACTCGCGTCAGCGGGCCAAGTAACAGCGCGTTTGTGATGCATTCTCCTACTCTTTCTGTTTGCTTCCCCTCACGCGGGCTGCTCTCCCTGCTTACTTTCCTCTTCTTCAAAATTAACATTTCCTGGAGGGCGGGGGGACAAAGAAACATGAGTATATCCCACGTCCCTCTTGCTATCTTGAAATTCAGTGAGCTAACAGGTCTTTTGCAGTGAATAATATCATAAATAATAAGCCTTTCTCGGGCAAAAAAAAAAAAAAAAAAAAAGGAATGTTCAATTTTATCTCACACAGACGCTGGTGGGTTTTTTCTTTGGCACCGGTTAATACATTAAGCCAAAGTTGTATTCCAAGTCCAGGCTGAGAATGTTCGTGTCGGCGAGCATGAGCTCGGGAACGTCTCTGCCCGCACACGCCGTCCAAACACGGGCAGCTTTACAAGCGCGAGGGGTCACTATTTGGCCTTTGCATCAATCAAAAGAAAAGCAGGGACTTGCTACATTCTGGAAAGATGTTATCTTGAATGTTTCATGAAATCGAGAGTTACCTTGTTTTGGGAAGTGGGCTCTGTAACATGTCAGAAGTGATGAGCAGGGTGAACCTCAGACACACTGTCAGAATCACGTTAAGTCTCGAGTTTGGATAATTGTGCACACAGGCACACGGCAGGAAGACACGGGCACACGCAAGCACACACGGGCACACACAACCACACACAGGCGTGCACAGGCACACGCGGGCACATGGCACATGCTTCTCCGCTCACTTCCTGTCGGGCCCTCAGTGCCTCTCGGCTCCCCTGGGAAGCACCCGGTCATCCCATCGGGGATGCTCCGTATCAGCCTCTCCGTGCCGTTTCCATGCTCTACGGACACAGCCTACTCCGCCCTCACAAACCCTGGGGCATCCAGTCCACATGCAGGAGGCAGGGGGACAAGTGAGACGTCACCGGGCCTTCCCTTAGCCACGGGCCACCCGGCGCCAGCGCGGGCTTCTCGGGTGTGGCCCTGCAGGGCTTACAATCACTTGCCAACAAAAGCCTAACGCTCCGTGCGCCTCAAGCATTTAGATTGAAACCTGATTTACGGGAGTTCATCTTTTCAGGTATCTCCAAAAAACCGGGAAAGACATTTGCTCTTACTCTGCAACAGAGACAAACTAAATTGCGCGGGGCCCCTGGCCCTCCAACCACCGTCTAGAGCCGGCCGTTCCCAGACCACCCGCCCCCTCAGCGCCAACACACCCGCCTTAAATCAGATAAAAGAAATCCGGTTTGAAGAGAGCCCTCCCTGGACTGCTGGTGCCCACAGCTCTCGGAAGACCTTCAGAGGCTCCAGGAACCTGCAGCCCCGAGCAGACCAACAGAGCTCACCCTGGTCGATGGCGCCGTATCGAAGCTCCTCTCGGCCATCCTCGTGCCCCGCCTCCCTGGTGGCATCTTCGTCGTCCTCCCCAGGCCTCGTGAGGTCAGCCTCCCCCTCGGAAAGGTCCGCCAGAGCCTGGTCGTCCTCCGCGGGCTCCCCGCCACCTGGGACGGAGCCATAAGAACCGCTGTTGTGTGGGCTGCGGCCTGTCTCAGGCGGCCTCCTGCTGATAGGGCGCCCGCCACCCCTCCGGGGACCCCCCTTCCCGAAGTCACCCAGTCCAGCCTGCACCAGGAGCGCCTGTCCCGCTCCCCGGCGAGGGGCGCAGAGGGGAACTCTACTCCCCACTGACAAGACACGCTCTGTCCCCCAGGGTTCCAGCGCTGATGGGGCCACAATCCGATGAAGTCGGTGAGCACCGCTCTCCAAAGGGGACGGAGTGCACGCAGCAGAGACCAGAGAGCCGAGGCCTGACCCCACCAGGCCCGGGGAGGCACCTCCACCCCCGACCCCACAGCGGTAGGGACCCCAGCGCGTTAGTATAATTTCACTTGGCCCAGTTCGGGTTTGGGTTTCAATCACTTGTGACGCAAGGACCCCTGCACGGTGT